CAACATTAGCCTAAAACGACATGGGACTGATCAGATCAATAAGGATTTTGGAATTTGTTGATACTATTGCTGTTTTTTCTTGCCATATATTGTGTCATGAGTTTGGGCCGTCTGGATGTGTTTACAGGTCCAATAGACTCAGGGCTTATACGCCCAATTTTTTTTTGTATTTATCTTTTTAACTTAAACCAGGTCTATCTGTGACAACAGCGAAGAAGAAGACAAGGGCATAACCCCATTTGGAGTTGGATAAGTGGCAATAAATAAGGTTATTTGTAAAAGTGATATGCACTCTTTTTCATAAATTATAGTCTACTATTTTCGAAACGCTTTTCGAGAAATACTATCTTATAAACTTTATAGTGGAACCTTTTTATATTTAATTTTGATTTTTAATATTTTTAATTAGTAACATAATTTTATATATTGTTATAATCAATGTTTTTAAACCCAATCCAATTACTGAACCAAACAATTTTCCAAGTTACCGAATTACTGGATCGATTGTGGATAACCACGTATCAATAGATTAATTAATTTAATATATAGTTATCTATTATCTATTTCAAATATTAGATAAATTTACATTTTTTTAAAAAAATGGATTTTTTTAATATGATTTATTATTTTTATTGTCATTTTCATTTCGCATAAAAATATTTTAAATTATTTAAGAAATTTTTTGTAAGAAATTAGGATTTAAGCATAACAAAACTTAAATCTCATAAGTTTTTGATGTCTATCATTGTTCATTAGATTTTTTAGGAGGCATAATGAAATATTTATCAAAACCTAAATACCACATTAAATTATTTAGTCGATATTATATATGGTTTTATAAAATTGAATAAGATCAATGAATTTTATACAAAAAAAAAATATTTGAAAACATTTACAATCAAGAAAAAGAAAATCAAAGCATGTGATTCACGAAAAGAAAAAAGACAAAATTAATATGTTAGAAAGTAAAACCTAGAAGGTTATTCACTATAAACACAATTAGCAAAAGATTTAAAAGAAAGTTCAAGGAGATATAGAATATATATGTAATAGCAAATGAAAGGATAATTTTATAAGAATACTAAAAACTGAAAGTAAAACCGAATTTCTGTTTTTGGGGATACAAACAATGTTTAATAAAATAGTTAAAAATCGAAGAAAAACTAAATAAAAATTATTTATTGGTTTATCTGATGGTTCAACCCACAGTCGGATCACCGCGTTTAAGAGTTTTTATCGGGTTTTATCTTATTTTTAATTAGTGGATATTTCCAAACCGGATTACTTATCGAGTCATCGGGTTTGACATTTCGACCACGAATCCGGAACGAGCGTGAAAACACTGATTATAACTTATAATTTTGTTTCGTACACGACTTTTGTAAGTGGCGGAGCCATAAAAATTATCTACTGGGATCAAGTTTCTTTTTTTAAAATATAATATCAAATATACTTTATATGTACTGATATTTAGATATTTTAATTTCAATTTTTCTTATAATTTAAATTTATTTAATTAAATAAAAAAGTTTAAAAGAGTTTAGAAATTAAAGCATTATCTAATAAAGTTAAAATTAAAAATTAAAAATTAAACTATAAATATAAAGAATAAATTTATCTCTGAATTTACATTACTTTATGTTCTTTGATATATGATCTATAGGGATTAAGGTGTATTAGAAAACATCTGACCAAAATCTTATTTAGTTTTAGTGAACCATAAAACATGAAAACAAGATTATATTGGCAAAAAGGAAACCTAAACGTAAGATAATAATAACTAGTGAAAATTCATAAATGAATTATTATTTTATTTAATTGAGTGGGTTAAGCTAAAATTGAACCCAAAATTAACATTTAGTCCGAAACTTAACCTAAAGTGATGATTAATGTGTTTAGTTATGTTTGTGTTTCACGTTTTTTTTTCTTTGTAAGATCATCTGATTTTTTTTAATGAGGCCACAAAATAATTTTAATACAAAAACACATAAACTTTAAAAATATGTGAGGTCATCTGATCTCACTCTCACTTAGGAATGTCAAACAAGTTGGTCCGTCCCATTTCGTCACGTCCGCAGCGGGTTCGTCTTTTCGCGGATCAAGGCGGGTCAGGCCCGCACGGACTGCGGTCTCCAGAAGGCCGGCCCAATCCCGTCCCGCCAATATGTATAGTCCTTTACAAGTCGTCCCGCGGGCTTAACAGAATGCAAAATGGACGTGTGTCATGCGAAGTGATTCATCATCCAGACTCTTGAATAACGAAAGAAACACTCTAATTCATTATTATAGATACCCAAATATACTATGGTAATCCGCTCTTCTGATAGTAGTAGACTTCGTCTCTCTCGTTGTTTCAGGTTGCGCAGAAATGGAATGTAGCTGTGGAGGCTAGGGTTGCGGGACATCCAAATCCCGCGGTTACCATAACGCCCGTCCCGCTTTGGCCCGTCCCGCCACAAGTCCGTCCCGCCACAAGACCTGCCCGCAAGGCCCGCTAATCTGTGGGTTTCCAAATCCTCGACCCAAACCCACCCCACAGCAAGTCTTAACGGGCCCGGCCTGCGGTCCAAGCCCTCCTTTGACATTCCTACTCTCTCTATACCGGCTCCGCGTCTGCTATTTACCCTCCCTATTTAATTATAAAAGTTTACTTTTATACATCAAGCTTTTCTTTAACCTCAAGCATGCTAATCTTTTGTGTCTCATTCCAATCTCTTAAAATGACCCCGAAAAGTGTTCTGTTAATACGACAAAAAGTGTTCTGTTTATAATAATATGAATCAGGACTACTCACAAATAGTTTAAGATGTGTCACTAAGTGGCCTTTTTGCACACCAGTAGACAAGTGTATATGCTTGAAAAATAAGATTAGGCTACCTAATGCTTCCATTAAAGTACTTATTACACTAGATCATATATATTTTGGTATAAATAACCTAACAAAATTCTAAACAATCCCTCTTCTTTTTGTCAGTAATCGATATATGGACCTGGTGCTTATCCTTACACAAAAGAGCACAAAAGGGCACAAAAAGTACCTTACAAAAGTTTAAATATATTGGGCCGTTGTGTCATCTTAATTGGATTTGTGACGGATGATGTACACTTAGGGACAAAAGTGTTACTTAATTCATGGTTTAAAACACTTACGTCAGAAAGTGTCCTAAATTTGTTAATTTAAACAATGAAACTCTTGGACTAACGCAATCTACATGAAAAAGTAACACGAGGTTGAAGTGTCAATGTTAGTATTTGCGTACGAGAGTTACTACTTACCAATATCATGAAGCGCGATGTATAACCATTTTAAAATCAGTAATTAGGTTTTGAACTTTAGATTTAAATAAATCAAGATACATAGTTAAGATTTGAGACAGATAGTTATAGGATAAAAAATACTAGTTTAGGATAGAATCATAGAACTATTGGGAGAAAAAAAAAATCATATACGAATGATGAACTAATTAATAACGTGTTACCTGGTATACCAAAAGCGTCTATTTTATATGTTCAAAATTTATTTTTCTTATCACTTATCTCATCAAATAATATACTTCAACTTGATGTTTAGTATCATTTCGGGAATCCGTCAGCCACGAGAAAAGTTCAACATGCCAAAGTTATATTACTCCATTAAAGTGTATAAAATAATACGACGAAACGAAAACCTAATTTTATAGTTTACACGATTAAAGAAAGAAACTGCAATATAAATTTAAGACAGAAACAAAAGGGTAATGATGTCTGACGCTTATCCGCCTAATTAAGACCTATAACCTGTGATACAAACACAATGCACTCTTGACTCTTCGTCGACTTCAACTCCATTTACGAAACCAAAATTTTAAATTTATTTGATTATCACAAAATAGTTAATCATAGTGTAATGATACACTTCAAAAAAGAATTATAACTCTTCGTGACGAGATATATCCGCATATATACATATTGCATGTATATGTATATTAAGATATCAATGCACCTAAAAATTATCTAGTTGGTGTACTAGCTTATAATTATTAATTTTGTATGTGGTCGCTGGTAGTATGTGATTGTATATGTACACCAAGAAAAGTGATTATATTTAATCTAATATCCAGAAGTAGAACGAAATCTTATTTGATATGTTTTTTTTTTGTATAAAAAACATATCAAATCAGATTTCTATGTTATTATTGCGATATTAAATTTTTATTGATAGTTGTTTTATTTATGAGGATTTCACATTTCTCTACACATATAAATAGTATACATACTGCTGACTAATTACTATAATATATAATATCTATGTAGACAACTAGTCACCAGTTCTGTATATACGTACATATATATATATATATGTGTGTGTGTGTGTGTGACATGCGCACACGAGGAAATACAATCCAAAATAGATAGAGCAACTTCTCAAGATTCTTCTCAATACAATCCATAAATGTAGTTAAATATAGGGATATCACAGTCTAGTTAAATTATAAATGTAGTATTATGCTTATATTCCGAAGATTCTTGTTAGGATTTCATATTAAACATGTGGAGGAAGACCTCGATCGTTATCGATATACATACATATATGTATAGCTATTCACACATCAATATATACAAGAGAAAACAATATAAATATAACTCGAGATAAAATGTATATTTAAAAATTGAAGATTCAAACATATAATGGGACCAACTTTCTACTAAAACACGTGGAAACTTAATAACGTGATAAGAATTTAATACTTTGAACATTGAATAACTACATAAACGAAAGTAGACAATCATTAAGTTGACTTAATTTAATCACAAACGAATAGAGAAAAAATAACTTCCGCAAATCGGTTTAGTATATATAACCCCATGTTTCAGCTCATGTCGACCAAATCAAATCATAAAAAAAAAAAAATTCGAATCATTGTCTCGATATATATATATATATATATATATATATGCAAATATACCGACGACCTTACGAGACAAAAGCTTGGCAGAACCGAATCTGTCCAGCGGAAACCATGGTGAAGATTCATCCCGGCACCGGGGAAGAGACAAGGTCGCCGTACTTGACGACGGAGAAAGAGAGTTTCACGATTTGGATGAAGTCATTAGTGTTCAATACTAATGGCTGCACAGTCTTTGATTCAAAAGGAAATATAATTTATCGTGTTGATAATTATAATTCTAAAAGCTGCCGTGAAGTTTATCTTATGGACTTACACGGCCATGTCGTGTTGACCTTACGTAGACAGGTAATTAAACACACGTACCAAAGCTATTTTCATGCAAGTTTCTAACGTTTTTATTCACTTTGAAACTAATTAAGTTTTTTTTTTTTTATGTTTGTAGAAGTTTGGATTATTCAAAACCTGGGAAGGATACAGATCAACTTCGGGGACGGCTGAATCAAGAACAAAGTTAGAATATTTTCGAGTGAAAAATAATATTTTCAAGATTCCGAGTAAAGATTCATCTTCTTCGTATAGAGTCATAACGGGGTCGTGTAGAAACGATGAACAATATTGTTATAAGATGGTAACTCGGGGATCAAGTTTAGGAATAGAGGAGAGTTGTGGAAGACTTGTGGCAGAAGTGAAGAGAAAACAATCGAGGAATGGTTTGGTGTTAGGAGATGATGTTTTGACGATGATGGTTGAGTCACAAGTTGATCATTCTTTCATAATCGGACTTGTTTTAACACATAGTCTTATCAACTGTAAACTGTAATAAAATTAAGGGGAAAACTTTGTCGAATAGTTAATCACTAACTGATGGTGTTTTTGGGTTGGAATTTTGAGTGAATTTTTATTTTACGACAAACTTTTCGCTCCATCAGATTAGTTTTTTTTTGGTAACTTTCACAAACTTTTGTCGTTTTTTGCTAATGAAATACAACTGATGTATCATGTATGATACTTGTAAGATATATAAAAGTTTCAATAAAGTGAGTGTAGGCTCTCTTTTATTCATTTAAATGTTTAAGAGTAGAAAGATGGAGCCAAATCAACTATGACCAGTTTATGACACCCCTTAAACATACTTCTAGATCCGCCACTGGAGCCAATTATAATAATTCAAGGTGGATGGATATGATAGATCATGGATTTTCAAATTTTAAATGTTAAGGGTAATTGGCGAAGAAAGTTTAACGTGGCTGCTGAGAAATTTCCATAGATCTATATAAAGCGCATTAAAGTACATGATTAATTAAGTAGATGACTATACTCCCAATTAATAATATTTATTTTCGAATAAGGGCTAAAAGCCTAAAAACTATCTCGGTGAGATTTGATTCGATTCTTAGGAGAAGATCCGTATCGTTCATTTTCGTTCAACACAAAAACGTCGCTGCACCATACCGAATCAAATAATCATTTTCTTTGGCTCAATCCAGTATTTTATATGTGCAGACATGCAGTCATAACTTTTCTGTTCCAAAAAAACAGTTCACTTATAATCTTTTTCATAAACAAGAAAAAGTAAAAATTAATATATTCCAATCTGTTAAACATATATATATTGTTGGTCCGTAAATAAGAAAGTCATTTCAGAAAGAAAAAAATCCTTCATATAAATGTTATTATTTCTTTTCCGTAAAATATTTGTCATATTATAAAACGTGAATGCACATCTAAATCAAACTAGCAATTGCTAACGTTAACTCTTTAAATAAGTAACTGAGCCAGAGAACTTCGTATGCATAGAGATTAGAGAATCGGACACAACGATATCACGATCAGCGCTTGACTTGAGACAAATGCAATGAAACTGTGATGACACAAAGGAAGGATCGCTGTGAAGCCATTAGTGCCTAAAGTAAGAATATTTTGTGCGTACAGTCTCAGTGATTCATCTTGGAGCTGTCTAGACACCAATTACTTCAGCTTATTGCCGAGCTCCTAGCTCAGGCGGGAAGAGAAATATCTTGCCATTATATGACGGTTGAATACTATGATTATGACTAACTAATTATCTAATGTAATAGCGCCTTTGATATATTTAGTGTTCCAACTAACGAATGCAACATGGCCGCCTGATGGATTAAGTGTTTGACTTCCAATCAAGTATGATTCCGAGTGTGTATGTTTTTTGAGTAAATTCATTTCATTCGTAATGTGGGCTTTTCATGAGGCTTGTAAAGCTCTAAGCCCATTCACTTTCATTTATTGATATTGGTTTTTACTTTTAGGTGAGTTGATGGACAGGACAACTTCATTATTCGTTTGACCACTCAGGTTACTGAGTTCGCTCGCAATTTGTCTATCGCATACAAATGAATAAAAATCAATACAGTTTTTTTTTTTCCTTTTCTTTTGTCTTTTAACTCTATTATACGTGTGTAGTTCACGTGTGTTGGTGTTTGTAGTTTACTGCTAGTAGTGGCAGACACCAAAAATTTGTTAAACGAAGACTTGAGATTGGATATTCGTCTGGGAGCTTTCTAGATTTACAGCCATCTGAAATAAATGCAGATCATCTACCAACCAAAAACAAAAAAAATCTAAATAGTTTCATTACTTTTTCTAGAAAAGATAGACTAAAGATGTCACTAATAATTTCGTTTTTTGAGTGCGTATAGTTTATTTAATAATGAAACAAAAAAAATTGCAGGATATGGGTGCTTTCAGAAGTTAACATCATCTTCTGTTTCGTGAGATCAGCTATTATAGGAGCTTTGTCTCGATTGAGTCAAAATAAAATGGTCCTACTTCCTTATGCATTCTTAACTTTATCTTTGTACATATCGATTACGTGTATTAATATTGTCCATCTTCTCTTCTCCCTCATATAATTTCGAGGAAACATAATCGATCAAAATAAGTAGTTTACTGTTAAGCGATGATAAGAGGCACCAGATAATATGGATTAGGATGCTTGATACGCAATTAGCAAACAGTAAACAACAGTCAACAGATGATGAGTTTCACAGATGTGCGTCCAAGTGTGTGGTACAAGGAGTTACCCAGACAACGCATACCTTGTCAATTTGTTCATCAACTTGTCTTTCTTTTATATCTTTTCGAGTCTCAATAAACTTACTGTCACACAAACGCACGTATATATAATGATCGCAAATTTTTTTTTGTATTTCTAGATATTTGCTGTCACTCCATGATGATATATGATATCATCTAGGTATGGGGTTCATTTATTTTTATTTGCAACATATTATGAAAGTCCAACCAATCTCGTCGACTCTAACACGTAGATAATATTATTACTTCCTTGAAATTGGCAAGCATGTGGGAATTTGTATACAGTTTATATATATATTTCAAACTACAGGCTGGCATGACTAAAACTAGAAGTATACATCTATGTAAACGTAACGTATATATACGTACATTATAATTTATACGTGAAAGATGTCATGTACGTACTCCTGTTAGCTAAAGGTGTATGAGTTTCCGTTTTCCTCTCAAATTTTACTAATAATAGCAGTATTGTATTACCTATCGATATTAAGTTTGCTGTTGCGTGTTAAACTTTGAAATATCACATTTTAACGCCTAGAATGAATTACTGATTTTTTTCTAGGGTTTTGTACTTACTTTGCTTTGAAACCGAGAAGACTTGAAAATGATTCAAGATTGTGTTAATAAAACTAATGACGAAGATACTTTGATAGTGGAATTAACGACGTAAATTAAGCGAATGTAACAAGTAAATTCAATGTTGATAACATATTGTAGTCTCGTCTTTACAGCCCAATAACACACACTAAGGAATATAAAACTTACATTTTCCTATAAGAATGTCTTCATCACCATTTAATATTTTATTCTAGAATATAGTAGAAATTAAGTAATGAACAAAAAAATTAAAAATATTACTCTATTTATGGTATAATGTTTTATTTTTGTGTTCACTATTTCATAATTTAGAATAAAATTTGAAGTGAGAATAGACTTATAGAGATGTTCAAAAAGAGTTTGTTTTTCTGTTTAATTCTTGCTTTTTCGGTCATTGCCGGCATATATGTCAATCTCTAGGTTTTTCTTTTATCAGATAATAATATTATAACTAAATGGTGCATGAACCAAACACAGTGCTAATAGTAACACATTTCAAAAGAAAATTGAGAAAAACACTTTTCAATTTTCATGGCCTCCTTTATTTACCATTGTTACACGGTTACACTTTTGACGTCTCTTTGACACCTTTCTTCAAGATTCTACAACATGTTTTTTTTCCCTTTTACCCTAACCTTTTATTTGATATGTACTAATTATTTACGTCACTGTTCTTATTTTCTTAGCACAGTCATGCGGACGTAGATACTAACAAAATGATGCTACAAGAGAATGAGAGATGGCGTTAACAATGATCTAACACATCAAACAATCCAAAAGGGAGTTTAGCAAAAACAAAAAAACAATCCAGACGAGATACATTTTTGAACTAGTATTTATATCTAAAATGAAAACTCAAGCATTCTAATTTGTTATCAAACTCAGACTTTATTTCAAAAGAAATCGAAAACTATATAGCCAAACTGATTTCTTACTTTTAGTTAGAAAATTTATCTAATTTCGTATGATGTATTTTCTTTTACTTTTCGCAAGCATCATGAAAGTCTTCTACAACTTGTCATCACATCAAAGTGGAAGGTATACTGGTTCGTGAGAAAATTATAACTCTAGGAAATTTTGTTTTTAGTTTCAATGAGCTGCAAATATAAATCATGAATAATATTTTTTGATTTTATTTTACATACATTATAACTACAAAAACTAATTGTTTCAGTTTAACGAAACGTGTCCATATTTACAAAAATTGTATAAGAAATTGAATATAGTTAATTTAACATTTGTAACAGTATCAGAAAAAATAATAATTTGTTTATGAAATAAATAACTGAATCCCAAATTCAATTTCTTTTTAGTTTTTGGTAGGGTTCATATAAAGGCCCATTCGTTCATATTTAGTCTAGAAGACAATACGTTTAGTAAATTATTACAATTCCTAAACAAAGATGAAGATCTATAATCGTCTGACCAAAGTAAAAACACACATATCTTTATCGTCGAAGAAAAAAAATAACAAAATCAAAGTACAAATTGTATTACATCAATCTGAAAACCTGGATATCTAGAATATCATCAGATTCAAACAAAATACTGAAAAACCCTTCAATGTTTCATCTCAGTAATGTTTCTAAGAAGGGATGATAGGTTAAAAGCAACTAAATCTTTTTGTTTATATAGAAGAACCGAACAGAAAACCCGTGTAATAGGTGTTATAAGGAAAATTAATATATGTCGTTAACTATATATTACCACAGTCCCTTTAATACGTTTTTTCGTTAATACATTGAAAGATTGGTTACTCTTATACAAATAAAATGATTGCTTTGACATGATTTACTCAATTAACGATTTAAAACATTACTATATTAAGAATTACAGTAGACAATGAATATACTTATTGCAAGATTTCTTTCCATTTAAACTCTGGAAGATATCTCTAAGCATTGACTATAATTTTAATGGGTTGACAAAACCAAACTTAAACAATATGAAATCTTTATAATATCCTATGTTTTCTTATTTTGTGGGTTAATTGACTCATATGAGATCAAAACTTCCGTTGTGACAAAATGTGATGCCTAAAATATTGCAGTCATTATGACTATTTAAAATCTTCCTAAATGAATTATTTATTCAACTTTCAGTATTAGATAGATGTACAATATTATGCTGGTTTAAATCAAAATATCACCTTCA